TTTGTGTGTTTATTTTATAATTAAAAGTAGGTTTAAAACTAGTTCGTTTCACACACATCAAGTTTTTAAAAGTTTGGTTGGTATGGGGAATTATTGGTGATTTTATTAAATTAAGTTTGTTAAAGAACCTTATGCATTAACTACAACTATTTTCAGTTAATTGGAAGACAATTAAGCTGCATGAACATCTCTTAGTTGTTAACCTCATATGCTTATGTGACCACTCTATCATATGACTAGGAATAATGAACATGAAACTAGAATTAATAAGAGAATGGGTAAATTAATGTGTGAGCTTGTTTGAGAAACCAACAAACAAGAGGTTAGTTGAATCACCCACTTGATTAACCAATTACAAATCTTATTTAATCCAAATAATTGAACTATGGAATTAATTAGTTTAAACAATTGTCACTGCTTGAATTTATTAATTATCTAAAGGTTAGTATTAGTGAATATGAACCTAACCACTATAGTTGGTAACCAATAACAATTAATATATCACATTACTATAAAAATAACCACAGGAGTGAATTGGTTGGACCTAAACAGAAACTCTTTATCAAAATTTGGTGTTAACGAACCTTATGTGTGAATGATAACTACTTTTCTGTTAATAGGAAGATAATTAAGTTGCATGAACATCTCTTAAGTGCTACCTCATATAATTTATGTGACCACTTTATTATATGACTAGGATTAGCGACTGTGAAACTAGAATTAATAGAAAAATAGGTAAATTCATGTGTGAGCTTGTGTGATGACCATCAACAAGAGGTTAACTAAAAGACCAAATTAGTTAGATATTACAAGTCTAAATTACCCCGAATAAATAACCTAGTGAATCAAATTAAATTAGACAACTGGCTACTGTTTGAGTTAGTTTGTTCTCTAAGAATTAATGCAGCGAATGTGAATCTAATTACTTAAATCAACTCGTCGAGTAGCTCACACATGAATTTACCTATTTTCTATTAATTCTAGTTTCACATTCGCTAATCCTAGTCATATAATAAAGTGGTCACATAAATTATATTAGGTAGCAATTAAGAGATGTTCATGCAACTTAATTATCTTCCTATTAACATAAAAGTAGTTATCATTCACACATAAGGTTCGTTAACAAGCTAGAATCAACAAAATCACTAATATTAAATCAATCCTACCATATATAATCAATCCATAATATCAATTTTGTCTCCCCGAACAGAAGTTTAAAGGTTTTAGCTCATGATTGAGGTGATTAACATCATAAAAACGAAATCTAAAAGTCTAAACATAATGAAGAACAATAGATTAAAGTAAGAATAATGTAGATTTGCCTCAAATCTTCTTCAAGATTGGTTTTAGGGTTGTATCTTCGTTCTCCAGATCTCTCCTGACTTCAATTTGCAACTTGCTTCTCCCCAAGGGTTCCAAAATTCTTTATGTCGATCTGGAAAGTTGTATTTATAGATTCGAACTGACTCGTCGAGTCCATGACCGACTCGTCATGTCTATCGCTTAATTCCCGTGCACGGTAAGTCTTAGAGTCCTTATCTTCTCGATCCTTCGATGCGACTCGCCAACCGACCCGTCGAGTCCATCGCTTAATTCCACTGCCTTTGTGTGTTTATTTTATAATTAAAAGTAGGTTTAAAACTAGTTCGCCGAGTAACTCTTTATCAAAATTTGGTGAATTTTTACTTGTTAGCTTTTAGTTAAATCCTGTGTTAAGTGGTTTGTTTTAGTTTCTAGTCTTGTAAAACTCGAGATGCATGGTTGTTCTGTTGTTTATATGTTTATATGATATGGTTATCTGTATGGCGTTGGTATTTTGGGGGTAACTCACTAAGATTTCGAGCTTACAGTTTCAGTTTATTGTTTCAGGTTCAACGGATGGTCACGGGAAGGCGAAGGTGTGACCGTACACTTCCTTGATCGATGATTATGATTTCTGGGAACTATGATGTTTAAACTATTTTAAAAACTAGTTGTAATAATTGAATGGTTTTAAATGATTTTAAAAGTTTTAAATTGGCTCGATTTTTATGGGTGTTACAAGTTCATTGCTTAGATATCTGAGTCCCTTCTAACTCCTTCGGTATCTTTCAACCGATACAGGTATGTTTCACCCCTACAACTAAGCATACAGTCATACTAGCAAGAGTTACAAAGACAACAAACACATACAAACATGTCGGTAAAGATTAGTGTTATTCTACAACATAATCCAATGGGCCGAAATTGGTGCCTTCGACCCACAAGTATAGTAAGGAAACTCACCTTAATCTGAAGATAGACAAATCACACTCTCGGGCTGTTGCTACCACGACTCCTCACACTGAACATATCCATATTAACCCTAATAAATAATCAGGGTAATAACCCATAAAAAATAGCCCAGATTATCATCTTCATGCTAAGGGTAAAAGACCATTTTACCCTTTCCTTAATGGGCCCTCAAACCATGGCCCAATCCCAAAAGACGTAAAGCCCAACAATGACCCAAAAGACTCGAGGCCCAAGAAATGGCCTAAAACCTAATGCCCAATAAATGGCCCAAAAGTCTTCTGGATGGTACGCTAAGCGTACCATCTTATTACACCCAACGTAGAAGCTTATACAACGAGGAAAACGGGGACTGAATATATTACTTTGAGCGTACGTATACGTACTCCCATTGTACTCTCCTGATGGACAAACTCACGTTAAGCACTTAGTAGCTTAAGTCCAAATGTCCAAATCACAGATCTTACTTAAAGGAAAATGTCTTAAATGATAAAGTCATTAACTTGATGCCTTTGCATGGCTCAACAAGGCCCAACATCATTTCTAACACTCTAACCTCATAGAGTGACCATCAACTCTTACATGGTTGAGTTAAATCAATCAATATGCCATTTTTATGAACAAGGGATCTCAAAAACATCAAAATCTACTATCTAAAGCTTCTAGAGTAACTGATACTCACATTGATCAACTCATGGGACCAAAATATGCCAAAAACCCTAACTAGCTTAGATATAAACAAAAAATACCAGGATTAAGACTTTATACCTTCTGGAAGATGACGAAGGTGAATATAATCTGGATCCACAAGCTTCAAATCAGCAAGAGCTTCTCCAAAGGGGTTATTTTTCCTTCAAAATGCACTAAACACACACCAAAACACGTATAAGGCTCAATCTTCTTTAAAAAAGGATCAAGGTTTCGTGGGAACTATTTTGGGACGAAGGAGGCTGATGATAAAAGATGTCTTGAGGTTATAAAGTGCTTAAATAGGGTTAAAACCCTAAATTTTAAGGTTTTCCCATGACTCGAGTATGCCCAACGTACGCTAGGTACACCCAGCGTACCAGGGGAAAACCCAATGTCCATGATTCGCTAAGGTACACCCAATGTACCTTGATTACACCCAACATACTAGACTAATTTGCAAAATAAATAAACACTTTAGAATTTAAGAATTTTACTTGAAAACCGGGCGTTACACACTATCATCATCTTGACCATCTTCTAAATTTAACTTATTCTGATTAACCATTAAATAAGCTCCCATCATATTGATCACGGTACATTGTTGTGTTTTTTTCAATATCATACAAGCCATAAAATGAATCATAGTCTTCAGATACTGGTACTTGGAGACTAATCTCATCTCCATGTTTATTCAAGAATTTAGGAACATCTATTGCTACATACCCTGTCTCTGCATCAATCTCATGTTCTTCTAGTATTTCCTTCTCCTAATTATCCCATGTTTCACTTGTTGGTACTTTCTTCTCTTCATTATCCCCTGTTTCACTTGTTGGTACTTCTTCCTCTTTTATTATCCCATGTTTTAATGTCCATGTTTAACCTTGTAAAACATGACCCAATACCCTAGCTTGGTTTCCAATTTCTTGTTCTTCTTATTCATGGTGAAAGTGATTTTGATGCACCTTCATTAACCACAACTGGTAATGATGAACTACCAAGTGACAATGATGAACTGCTATTTTCATGTTAAGGTTCATCAAGTAATTTTTGTTTTCCTTGTTTTGGTTCAATTCCAACTTTATTTTCTTCATTAGCTCCTGAATAATGACATCATTCCTTTGATTCGGTGACATGAAGTATGTAACCAAGTTGGTTGTGCCATGCTTAATATACACATGGATCACCTTATTAGATCCAGTGTATTTAGCCAAGTTACATACATATTGATCATTACTAAGAGCCCTAAGCCCAAAAGCAAGTCTTGGCTGGTAATTATGAAATGATAGTATATTACCCCCGAGCGCGCGCGGGGTGGGGTGGGGGCATATATCCTAGTTTTAGCATCATAACATTGAGCTCATGCACTGGAAACTCATCTATATCAACTAAATCAATATATCTAACCTCCGAGTGCACATATCTTATATTTGGAAAATGTGTGAACTTCTCACCATGGTGAAGTTCAATCGTGAACAAAGTGGGATGATCTATCTTTCCCAAACAAAATAATACAAAATATAGTTAGCATATTGTTGAAAATTCAAAAAAACTTAAGTTTCAAAAGCTATAGTAATACTCACCATACAAAAGCTAGTACATTAAACTCCATGGTTGTAGGTCGTATCGTCCATAGTGAAAGCACCATTTTTTCTTCTTCAAGCCATCTAACAACTCAAATCAGGAAAGGATTTGGGTCGAAATCATTGATTTAGGGTTAGCATTGTAATGACAGTTGAATGAGGAAGAAGGTGAAAAGTGTCTGATTATTTAGACATCGTTATATACACAATAATAGATAAGCATTGGCCCCATAAATGAAAAGATTGAAAATATCCTCGTATGCAGGACACGTGGGGAAGAACACGACATGCCTCTAGCTACAGTTAGAAACTGGGACCAAATCCACAGCTTAAACGTTTTTGGACCTAACCCAAAAAAATCGATAAACCAAGGGGTATTTATGTAGTTTTGTCTAAAAGAAAATCATACTATGTCAATTGAAGTTTTATAAAAAAAATTAGTATCTTTATGCAATTTGCCATCAACATAGATAAATCAATAACTTCATTTCCACCTTTTTGTTAACTGGTGCCTTCGTTTTTAGTAAAACTTGATCCACCATCGACAACAAGATCTCAGAGCGCGAGAGTTTGATCTCTCTCACTCGTGAACTCAATCAACTAAAATTCAACTCATTTACTCTTCTGTTCCAACTCAACACCGAGATCTCTGGCTTAACCTCGATCAAACAAGAAGATCGATTGAGAATTGGAATCAAAAGAAATTTAAATCGAAGATGGCCGGAGGTGCTGCTGGAGGTTTTGTTACTCGAGCATTGGAATCCATGCTCAAAGAGTGTTCTGGGAAGAAGTATACCTCTCTGCAGACTGCAATCCAATCTTATCTAGGTTTGATATTTGATCTCTCTGGTTTCCTTCAAATCCCAGATCTTCAGTTTGAATTTCAATGTGTGTTTACATATCTATATGTTGAAGTACTTAATAATTTTTGCCTGTTGTTGAGTCAATTGATTTCCTCTTTCAATCACCAATTTCTGTATCGGTTCCGCAAGAAAAGGATCTGCCCAAGATTTTTGACATGGACCCTAGTATTTCTCTGATGCAAAGGGGTGTGTGTGTTTTGGGGATAGGCAACACAGTACATCCTTTAATGCATAAAGTACAAGCGAACCTGAATTGCTATATTTATCGGAGTGAGAAAAGTATACCAATCCTAATACCCGAGGGAATGGAAGTGTGGCAAAAACGCAATTTCCCGGAAGCAGTGGCCGGATTGTTCATTTAACATCAACATTTTTCTAATTTCGTGTGTACTAATTTGGCATCAACATTGTTCTATTTGTTAGTTTCAGTTATTGTGTTATACGTGAAGTTCAATTCATTTTTTGGGAATGAAGGGATAGTTTTGGTTGTCTTGCCATTACATATGTAGTTAGTTGAGTATATGTTATTTTAGTTCATCTTGGGCCATTCAGAATTTGAGGCTTTACATAACTGTTCTTTCTGTAATCCTTGTAACTATAGGATTTTGATACTCTTCCATGCTTTGTTTCTTTATATGGTTGATGATTTCAGCATTCACTAATTCCCAGTTCGTCTTGCATTTCCAGAAAATTCCAAAGATATCAATAAAGAGGTGAAATCAAGTGATGCCAGCAAAGTGACATCTTCAGAGGGAGGAGATACAAGGTGCTTACAATATATATTGTTATAAGAGGATGCATGTGCCATTATCATTTGCAACTTTTTAGTTGCCAAAATTCTGCTACAATTGCTTTCTTCAGTTCTTCTGATCATTTTCTCTCTTTACTTCATTTCTTTCTTGCTAACCATGTTTTCACTTCATTGTCTGTGCGTGTATATAAGATTCAAACTTTAGATGTAATTCGAATATGCGTCTGGAAAGAGTAACACAGAATCAAACCAGTGGATGTATCAGTAAAAGAGAAAGAGAAATGTAGATAAATGCATCATATGATTTCAGATAAAGAAACAATAGAGAAATGCCTCTACACAAAACTCGATGCTAGCAATATAAATCGAGTGTATTGGAAATTGGAAAAAGATGTATACATGAGTTAGGATTTATGATATACTCCTTCCTTTCCCAAATAGACAGATCTCTTGAACATAAAACTCGAGGGCATTAGTATTGTTATGAATATTGTGAATCCAGTGTTTGCATGTTCTCTGAAGGTTACAACATATCTCATATCTAGTTTTTAACTGCCTAAGCTGCGAGAGAGTAGAAATATGCAATAGTTCATTTTGTAACATGATATAATGACTATTTTAAGATAATGTAATTTAAGTGGATCAGGATGCAAACTCAACCAGTGATTTGTGATTATTCAATTAGGGACACAGTTTTTCCATACGGTTATACCAATACTTACACTCTGGATCATTTTTAAACATTGTTGTTGCAGTGTGCCTGAAACCGATAATGGAACCACAAGAACTGAAGCGGAGGGTGATGTGGCACCTTCAGCGTCAAATGATGCTGAGGTGGCAGAAAACGTGGCATCAGGTGGAAGTGTGAAGACAACCTTGGCTAGTGCTGGGCATAGTTTGGAAGGAGCTGAGTCGGAACTTGTTCTTAATCCATTGCGCCTTGCATTTGAGACCAAGAGTCCCAAAATCATTGAGCTTGCATTGGATTGTCTTCATGTATGTCAATTAGAATTATACTTTGTTTGTAGTGGCTTTATGTTTATAACATTATTCATGTTTAAAACTTTGTAAGTGCAGAAACTCATTGCATATGATCATTTAGAGGGTGACCCTGGTCTAGAAAATGGCAAAAATGGTCCTCTGTTTACAGACATTCTGAATATGGTCTGCAGCTGTGTGGATAATTCCTCACCAGATAGGTACATATATGTTTCATATTATTATTATTATTATTTTTTTTTTCTCTCCAAAAATGTCATTTTTATGATAATGGAAATTCATGCAGTACTACTCTTCAAGTCTTGAAAGTTCTACTCACTGCTGTTGCATCCGCCAAGTTTAGAGGTAATCTTAATGCTTTTAAGGGATATTTGATATTTCTTCTTGTTATGTAAAATGCTGACATTGTGCTTTCTTATATGCAGTTCATGGGGAAGCATTACTAGGGGTAATCAGAGTGTGTTACAACATTGCTCTTAATAGGTAACTCTTAGTTTTTATTCTTTAGTTTATTTTTGCTTTTCGTGAAGTGAATTCATCAACCAAAATCTCTTTTGAATGCTCAGTAAGAGTCCTATCAACCAAGCTACATCCAAGGCTATGTTAACCCAAATGATCAGCATAGTCTTCAGGCGAATGGAAACAGATCTGGTTTGTAATCTACAACTATTCATTCATATTATTGTTCTTATACTCTTCTAAATTTTGATTTTGGCTCTCTTGCATTGCAATTCAGGCGTCTTCACATAAAAAAAGTGGTTCATCCACAAAGGTTGAAGAAAGTTTTTCAGGTGATGAAAATGGTCAAAAGTCAACTCCTAGTGAATCTCTTGATGAGCTTCATAATCTTGCTGGTGGGACTGACATTAAGGTATAATCAATTTCATTTTCCTATATGCTTCTGTCATTTGTAATGGTAATATATCAGTCAAGATTAAGATGTTTGACCTTTTATTATACAGGGTCTGGAGGCAGTTCTTGACAAGGCTGTGAAACTTGAAGATGGTGGGAAGACCCCTCGGTATATAACTATATATAGTCTTCCATAAAAAAAGCTGGCTTGAAATTTATTGTATAATTTATGCTGATAATTTGTCTTTTATATTGTTTTTAAGTGGGATTGATCAGGAGAACATGAGCATTGGACAACGTGATGCTTTGCTTCTTTTCCGCACCCTTTGCAAGGTTCACATTTTTTTTTTCAGTTTTGACTTTTGACTACAAAAAGTTTGGAACTTTTGGTTTAATTTTAGGTAATTGCAGATGGGTATGAAGGAAGATAATGATGAAGTTACTACAAAGACTCGTATTCTGTCTCTTGAACTTCTTCAGGGGTTGTTGGAAGGGGTTAGTCACTCCTTCACTAAGAACTTCACTATCATTGACTCAGTCAAAGCTTACCTATCATACGTGTTATTACGGGCATCAGTTTCACAATCCCCAGCTATTTTTCAAGTAAGTTGGATGCTTTCATTAATGTTTTTTTGTTCCTTTTTGTAATTGATTTATAATATTATTTTGCTTTATTTTGCAGTATGCAACTGGAATTTTTTCTGTGCTATTGTTGCGGTTTAGGGAAAGCCTTAAGGTACCCACAAGTTTGTATAGTGCCTTTCTATTTGTTTGTGTAAATGTGATATACTTAAAATTCATTTTTTTTTTTTATCAGGTTGAAATTGGTATCTTTTTCCCCCTGATTGTTTTGAGATCTTTGGAAGGGTCAGAGTACCCACTCAACCTGAAATTAAGTGTTCTCCGGATGCTGGAGAAAGTTTGCAAGGATCCACAAATGCTTGTTGATCTATACGTGAACTATGATTGTGATCTTGATGCTCCAAATTCGTTTGAAAGAATGGTAATTTGTCATTTATGCCCATGGACTTTACCATATATTTTCTTAGTTCTTAAACAGGTACATGATTGATGATTCTGGTAATTTTCTTGACATATAGGTGACAACCCTATCAAGAATTGCTCAAGGGACTCAAAGTGTGGATCCTAACTCAGTCAATGCCACTCAGATTGGATCAATCAAAGGGTCTTCACTTCAGGTTTTTTTTTTTTTTTTTTTTTTTAATTTCCTTGTAGAAAGATTCTTTTTTTTTAGGGCAGTGATAATATTTTGTCTTTCATGTTTCAGTGTCTTGTGAGTGTGTTGAAATCCCTAGTTGACTGGGAGAAGTTGCGAAGAGAGTCAAAGCAAAGTGAAGACCAAAAATCTATTGAAGAAGATTCTTCAGCTGCAGATGCTCAGGTCAATAGTGACGTGGCAAATAACTTTGAGAAAGTCAAAGCTCATAAATCCACCATGGAAGCTGCAATATCTGAGGTAAATATGGTTTGACCGTTTGACTTCCAAGGTCAAAGGACTTGTTTTTTACTTCAAAAGTGATTTCAATTATCAATGAATTGCAGTTCAACCGTCATCCTGTAAAGGGCATTGAGTTTCTGAAATCAAATAGTTTGGTGGAGAATACACCAGTTTCAATTGCTCAGTTTCTCAGAAACACCCCTAGCTTAGACAAGGTACAATATTTGATCTACAATAGTTTAAAGCCTTTCCAAAATTACCCTTTATTCACCATCTTGTGTCTGGACTTTCAGGCAATGATCGGTGACTACTTAGGTCAACATGAGGAGTTTCCTCTTGCTGTAATGCATGCTTATGTTGACTCTATGAGCTTCTCTGAAATGAAATTTCATACTGCAATCCGTGAATTTCTTAGAGGTTTTCGTCTTCCTGGTGAAGCACAAAAGATAGATCGTATAATGGAAAAATTTGCAGAACGGTATGCATTCATTTAGCCCCAAAAAGAAACTACCAACAGTCACTTTTATGCTTAAACCTGACTCTTATTTCTTTGTATGTTTTATTGTCTTTGCAGTTACTGTGCAGATAATCCAGGTCTTTTCAAGAATGCAGACACTGCTTACATTCTTGCATATGCAGTTATAATGTTAAACACTGATGCTCATAATCCAATGGTGTTTCCTAAAATGACAAAAGCCGAGTTTGTGCGAATGAATGCCACAAATGACCCTGAAGAATCTGCACCAACAGATGTTCTGGAAGAAATTTATGATTCCATTGTTCAAGAAGAAATAAAAATGAAAGCTGATAACATCGGGAAAAGCAGCAGAAAGCCAGAAGCTGAGGAAAGAGGGGGCATAATCGGTATTCTGAATTTGGCTCTCCCAAAACAGAAAAATCAAAGCGACACACAGTCTGAAAGTGAAGCCATAATCAGACAAACACAAGCAATTTTTAGGAACCAAGGGGCAAAAAGGGGAACATTTTATACATCATATAAAATCAAGCTTGTGAGACCAATGGTTGAAACTGTTGGATGGCCACTTCTTGCTACATTTGCAGTAAGTATGGAAGAGAAAGAAAACAAAGGCAGAGTGTTTTTATGTATGGAAGGGTTCAAAGCAGGAATTCACATTACTCATGTGCTTGGTATGGATACCATGCGTTATGCTTTTCTGACATCACTCATCAGATATACTTTCTTACATGCACCAAAAGACATGAGAAGTAAGAACGTTGAAGCATTAAGGACATTGTTGGATATAAGTGGCACAGAGCCTGATGCACTTCAGGACACTTGGAATGCAGTTTTGGAGTGTACTTCTCGTCTGGAATATACCGTTTCTACCCCTGCCATGGCTGCTACAGTCATGTTTGGATCCAACCAGATTTCAAAAGATGCAGTTCTTCAATCTCTTAGGGAATTAGCAGGAAAACCATCTGAGCAAGTTTTTGTGAACAGTGTTAAACTCCCAAGTGAGTCAGTGGTGGAGTTTTTTACTGCTTTATGTAATGTCTCAGCTGAAGAATTGAAGCAGAATCCAGCTCGTGTTTATAGCTTGCAGAAGCTTGTTGAGATCAGTTACTACAACATGGCCCGTATTCGTATGGTAAATAGTAAAAATACTTCATCTATTCAAATTTTGGATTTTATTTTCAGTTTTTAATGATTGGAAAATATTACTGTATGTTTTTTCAGGTATGGGCAAGAATATGGTCTGTTTTGGCTAATCATTTTATTGCTGCTGGAAGTCATCATGATGAGAAGATAGCAATGTATGCTATAGATTCTCTAAGGCAACTTGGGATGAAGTATCTGGAACGTGCAGAGCTTGCTAATTTCACATTCCAGAATGACATCTTGAAACCGTTTGTTGTTTTGATGCGAAATAGCCGCAGTGAAATAATCCGAAGATTAATCGTGGATTGCATCGTTCAGATGATTAAATCAAAAGTTGGAAGCATTAAATCTGGTTGGAGAAGTGTTTTCATGATTTTCACAGCTGCTGCAGATGATGACCTGGAACCAATTGTCGAAAGTGCTTTCGAGAATGTAGAACAAGGTATATGAAAACATATTGTTTTTAAAAAAAAAAAAAAAAAAAAGGTCAGTTTTCACATATCTAACAGAAAAAATAAACAAATTTGCAGTTATACTGGAACACTTTGATCAAGTTGTTGGTGACTGTTTTATGGATTGTGTCAATTGTCTAATTGGTTTTGCCAATAATAAAACTTCTCATCGCATCAGTTTGAAAGCCATTGCACTTCTCCGCATATGTGAAGATCGACTTGCAGAGGTTTGTTTTTTTGTTATTTGCTTTTGAATTATTTTAATCATCCACTAACTGAAATTATTGTTTAGGGTCTGGTGCCAGGTGGCAGCTTGAAACCGATTGATGATAATGCAGATGCAACAAGTGATATAACTGAGCATTATTGGTTCCCAATGTTGGCTGGTTTGTCTGATTTGACATCTGATCCGAGAGCTGAAGTTAGTAACTGTGCACTAGAGGTGTTGTTTGACTTGTTGAATGAAAGAGGAAGTAAATTTTCAGCTAATTTTTGGGAAAGTATTTTCCATCGCGTTTTATTTCCTATTTTTGATCACGTGCGCCATGCTGGAAAAGAGACTACATTGTATGGAGATGAGTGGGTCCGTGAAACTAGCGTTCATTCATTGCAGTTGTTATGCAACCTTTTCAATACTTTTTACAAGGTATGTCATGTTTTTTTTTATTTAATTTCATAAAACTTTATACTTTATTTATTTATTTATAAAATATGTGTGTTGCTGTTTCAGGAGGTATGTTTTATGCTGCCCCCACTGTTAAATCTGCTGTTAGATTGTGCGAAGAAGACAGATCAGTCAGTGGCCTCAATCTCCCTTGCTGCATTGGTCCATCTTATAGAAGTTGGAGGGCATCAGTTTAGTGATAGTGATTGGGATACCTTGTTGAAAAGCATAAGGTGGGTGTGTGTGTGTGGATCCCACCTCTGTTACTTTATACTTTTATTGTATATTCATGTATGTCTTAGTTTATCTTTGTGGGTTTGCAGAGATGCTTCATACACCACTCAACCCCTTGAGCTACTGAATGCTTTGGGTATTGAAAGTGGTAAGACTAAGAGTCGGTCAGTTGTGGCTAGAGATTTAGAGGTTCACATAAATGATAATGGTAAGAAGCCACTTTATTGTCATAATTTATGTATTTGATTTGCTCCATAGAAAGATGTATTAATTTTTGTGTGATAGGTCAAGTGCAAGAGAATCAAGAAGGAAGACCATCAATGGATCTGCATGAATCTGAAGGTTATGGCCTACCCTACAAGTTATTTCTATATTGAGTAGAAACATTCTTGATATCGTATATTATATATATATATATATATATATATATATATATATATATATATATATATATATATATATATATATATATATATATATATATATATATTGTATAAGGTTCTGACACTTTAAAAAAATAGTTTCACCAGGCAAGGTCCAGAATGGTTCTGAAGGTGCAGCAGATTTGCAAAGAAGTCAAACGATTGGTCAACGGCTGATGGACAACATCTTCATGAGAAGTTTCACTTCAAAGCCCAAGAATCCAGCTTTAGATATCGTGGTACAAGCTACTCCATCCCAGGTATAGTGTTGTTGATTCTGATCTTTTTAATTATTAAACAGATTAAAATCTGTAAAAAAAAAAATTTGATCTTTTGATTTTTGATGATGTAAAAAAAGACTCTGGATGTTGTGGGGGGGCATGAGAGTGAAGATTTGAGTGAGAGTCCATTCATGGGAACTGTAAGGGGCAAATGCATAACACAGTTGCTACTATTGGGAGCCCTTGATAGCATCCAGGTATGTTGCTGCTTTTCTTTAAAAATATGGGAAATTTTCCTTTTTTAAAAGAATTGGTGAAAAACAATAGCATACGGATGCAGAAAAAATACTGGAGCAAGCTGAAGGCGTATCAAAAGATGACAATATTGGAGATCTTATTCTCCATGTTAGAGTTTGCTGCATCATATAACTCTTACACAAACCTCAGACTACGCATGCAACACATTCCTTCCGAAAGGTGAGTTTAGTTTCACACTTGTTTTTTTTTTTTTTTTCCTGACACGTGGCAAACTGTGATTGGTCGGTCAGGCCGCCATTGAACCTTCTACGGCAGGAGTTAGCGGGCACATGTATTTATTTGGATGCGTTACAGAAGACGACTTGTGGGGTTGAGAAGGGAGAGGTTGATGATGATGTGGCAGTGAAGAGTGATGCTGAAGAGAAGCTTGTGTCATTTTGTGGACAGGTGCTGAAGGAAGCATCTGATTTCCAATCAAGTATCGGAGAAGGTACAAACAACACCATGGAGGTTCATCAGGTTCTTGGATTACGTTCCCCCATCATCGTTAAGGTAAGGGCGTTTTAGACATTTGATAAAAAAGAATACTTGAAAACATATTTTCCTAAATGTTGTTGTCTTGTTGATTCATGTTTACAGGTTCTCAAGGGGATGTGTGTGATGGACAACCAGATATTCAAAAAACACTTGAGAAGCTTCTACCCTTTAATCACCAAGCTTGTATGCTGTGAGCAGGTAAATCTTATTATTATTATTTTTTAATTTTAATTTTGTGTCTATTTTTAAATCTGAATATGAAATTTTGTGGCTGTGGCTCAGATGGACATTCGTGGTGCACTTGCGGAGCTTTTCAGTATGCAACTAAATGGACTTTTGCAATAGGAATGTTTGAATGAATTATGAGCGCTTTAGAAGCAAGAACACGGCCTGTGAAACATCATTTTTGTGTCCGTATTTTGTCTAGTAGTAAACTATTCTTTTCAATGCTGACAAGTTGTTGTTTCGTTGTATATTTTTGCATAGATAGATACACCAAATTGCATCAACTTTATTTTTCTTTTAATTGCTTCTTGTACAACATGTTTGTCTAACCATTAGCCGATTCAATGCCTTAAAAGATTCAGATACTATCTTGCATTGCAAATCACAATTCTCTATAAAAACATAAACTACATTACATGTTTTTATTTATTTACGTTTTATAGCAATGTGTGACACGAATGATAGGCACCTACTAAACTAGGTGTGTGATTCTGGATGGGATGGACATATTAAATTAAGCATGTCGTGTCGTGGCAATGGTATCTAATGAAGTAATGATGTAGTTAGGTTCAAACAAAATAGTTGATTAAACTAAAGTTATGCCGAGTTGATTATTATTATTATTTTTTTGTATTTCTAATTTGGCTGTTTTTATCTTCAAAAGATTTTTCCATAAGCAAGGTCCATGGCCATGGTTTACCCTCCACACACAATTCAACTCATAATTTTCATAGTGTTGGAACAAAGAATAGTTTGAAAGTTATGTGTAAGAATTAAAATCTCAAATAAACATTTTGGATAATTGTTTGTTATGAAATCTTATTATATTGATGACAAGTTAATAGTGTCTACGCCGATGTATATAATGATATCCGATATATTTGGACGATTCTTGGTTAATGGTTGATTTTGTGATCTCTAGCAAAGTTCAATTCGTTGATTTCTTAATATTACTTAAAAAAATAAAATTGGTCAACCATCAATTACTCGATTTTAATTTATAGAACTTTTCCAACCATTTTTTTCAAACCATTAGAGCAACCAAACATGATTCTAAATGTATTTTAATCATATTACATAATATCAATTTTGACCATCAACTAAGTTATCCGGATAGTCCATTTTACTATTTATACTTCCAACCATCAATACTTTCCAATTATGATATGAATATTAAAAAAAAACTTTTATTATTATAGTACGGAATATACATTTGAGTTGCAGTTGCAAACTTAATGTATTATTGGTTTTAGTTTCAATTCGAACAACTATTTAAATTTACTAAGAGATATTTTTAGATATATGATAAACAAAATATTTTTATTAAACTATGTATTTAGCTTAAACTACGGATCAAATATGTAAACATATTTGATTTGGAGGCGTTTTTGAAAATTTTAAGTTCAGAGTGATGTAAACTATGCAAAGCAAAAGACAAAGGGCTTCACGTTAATATTTTTCAAACTTCATTTGAAGTGTAGGGATGTAATGTTCTTTCTCTGAGAAACTCCACAGCAGGCAAAAGCCGAAGCACGCCGCTTATAGAAACACCGCCACCCACTTTCATCTGCCGATATTCATCTCCGGTGACGCATATTTCTTTGTAGGTGGGCATTCTATGTATTTTTCCTGATCCCATTAACTCCTATTTTTGTGTATCAATCTGATTGTTAGATTTATGTTTAGAGACATTATATGATATAATCACTGAATCAGAATAGCAGTAGCTTTCCTTGTACGTGCTTAGCGAAACTTAAGTAGAAGTATGTCTGACAGAAAATGTGGTGGGGCTGAGAGTTTTAGGTAAATTTTGTGACGACGCAAGTGCATATGAAGTGTTTGATGAAATGCCTGACCTAGATATTTGCGGTTTACCATTCTGAGTGTAGTGATTTCTGACATTTTTGTAAATAGGTCACTGAAAACTTCGAAATACTATGAAGACCGCGGTTAGTGATTGTTGAGTTGTTTCTGAAACTTCCAATTTCATTTTCCTCACACCAATCAAGTATATGTGTCTACATGAACGGATGACTTGTTTTTGGCATAGGGTGTAGTAGATTAGTAGTTGCAATCTTCTAACCCATTTGTGTATGAGTTCCATACAAGGTGAGGAGGTGGAGTTTTGCTATGCTTATGTATCAAGAAGCTATCTTTGCTATGGAAAGAAGATTATAAAAGTAGGATACACAGTTTGTTCTTTTAAGATAAACACAGATGGATATCAACTTGTCAATTATCATGCATATGTTTTTTTAGCTATCTCCCTTGCTTATATACACCTTTATATACTAACATATGAAAAATGATATCTGATCTTTTATTCTATGGTACATAAGTCCAAAGCTTCTTTTCACATTCCAACTTTTGTATAGGTTGTACTGTGATATTATGACAAGGTTTCATATTTCTGGATATTTGTGCTGTTTATCATTTATCTAAGATCTAAGATGTTGTCCCTATTCCACATTAGCATATGTTCTTTTTGTTTCTTTTACAAATAGCTCATATAAAATCATATTTTTCTGGGAACTTTCAGTGAAGACTGCCTTTAAGAATAAGTCATGGTGGGCTGGCATCGACATGTTCATTCTTTGTTCCAAAAGGTTGGGAAAAGAGTGGAAAGCAGCTATCACACCTATGCAAACTTTTCTGTTTCTCCATTGAAGTTATCTCAAATTCAAGGTTAAAACATTATACAATATCTTTTAGATGGGAAGCTTGGTAATACGAACCTGTGAAGAAAAACATGATTTCCTCATCTTAACATTATTGTTTTTTTCAGGTGTGCCACCTCATATGCAGCTCCTTCGAGTTCCACCTTCAATAAACATGTCAAGACCTCTATATCACTATTTGCACCAGTTGGTAATGCTTTGGAGTTCATTTGAATCAGTTTATTTCTCATCTTTGTTTAAATTGCAAGTTATTATTTATAGGTTTTGTTTTTGCGTTTTTTTTTTTTTTTTTTTTTTTTTTTTTCCATGTATTGTAGGGATTTACTAGTACAAGAAGATTACTTTCATCTGAAGCAACCCCTGGTCCTTCTCCTCTAATACCAACACTGGCTATAGGCAGTGGGAAAGCTGAACCTGAGAAAGCTGTCTCCAAACCTTCAAAAGTCCAAGCAGTTCTCAAAGACATAAAACAGGTTCATCTTTTTCATTCATTATTAAGCACAACCTTATTCTAAAACATAAAGATGCTAGTTTCCTATTATTTAATTTTAATATTTGTTAATGGTTTCAGAGCCCAAAGAAGGTGAACTTGGTTGCTGCATTGGTTCGTGGGATGCGTGTTGAGGATGCTCTATTACAGTTACAGTTGACAGTAAAACGTGCTTCAAAAACTGTCTACCAGGTCACAACACTCTCTAATACATGCAAATAAAGAAAAATGTTAACTTTGTAAATTGCAATAAAAAAGAAACACAACCACTAAATATATATGTGTTCAGGTGATCCACTCAGCCAGAGCTAATGCCACACACAATCATGCATTCGATGCAGATCGCCTTATCGTTGGTAATAATAATAATAATGATAATGATAATAATAGTTTATTCAATTCAATGATAATTTTATAAATGTTGTATAAACAGCGGAAGCATTTGTTGGGAAGGGATTTTTCAAGAAAAGGGTGTCGTATCATGCGAAAGGTAGAAGTGGAGTAAGAGTGAGACCCGAGTGTAGACTAACAGTTGTTCTAAGGGAAATAACCCCTGAAGAAGAAGCCGAAATCGCAAGGCTAAAAGTCCACAATTTCACAAAACTCACAAAGCGGGAGAGGCGACTCGTGCCACATAAGCTTATTGAGACAACCCCAATTTGGAATCGAAAAGGTAACCCTAGAAATCACCAAGAACAACCTCCTGCCATGGCTGCATGAAATTCTTGCACTTCTTTACTTCTGTTTTCATGGACATTGTAAAAACATAATGTTGTTTGTGGTCAAACCGAGACACTTTCACAACTATGGGGTTGATTTTGAATAATTAGGAATCTTGAGACTGCTTTTTTTTTTTTTTTTTTAAGTAGTTGAAATATTATATTATTTATTCAGTAATCTTGCTTTATACATTGAGTGTGTTTTACACCAACTTCGATACATGATCACCAATCACCATACTCAAATTTCACATGACATCCAAATAACTTTTTTGCATTACCAAAAAGAAAAAAGAAAAAGAACAAGACCCTACCTTAAAAGTCAAAAGGAAAAGAATGAATAAAACATAAAAGATACTTTAGTTTCGGGGAATCATCATTATATTTATGAACAAACAAGCATTCCCAATTGGATAATCATAAAGCTAGGAAAGATGAGTTGTGATGATTTTCAGAATTTGTAACTTGTTTTATAAAAATCTTTTCATAGTACAAGACATCCTAGACGTCGTTTCTTTTGTTTGCTTGGTTTTGAAGGTTGAAGGACTGCCTTGATTGCCACGTCAAATACTGTCTTCACACTCTGCATGCATCACGCATCACACATGACATCAGCACTACTACTTGTAAATGCATATTTTCATAATATAAAAAACATTAAATAGCTAGTAACATGTATTAGATATTAATATGAATATGATGGTTGGAACAAAGTCACAACCTGTTGTGTCTTGGAGCTGCATTCCACATAGCCCACTGCCCCTATTTGCTTCTTTAGTTCTTCACCCTGGATTCGAATTAAGTATTAAAAAAGGAAATCTTCAAATTATGATTCTTGAGGGACTAAAACTTATATTACCAACAGTTTGTGATTCTCAGAATCCCTTTACTTTTCCAGTTTTACATTTATAGTCCCTGATGTCATGCAAACTCCTTAAAAACCACAAATAAGTTGTACCTGTGATGTGGATATAGTAGAAGCCCCTGGATAGTCCATTAGAAACTTCTTGTCTTCTCTCAAATCTGTTTATCCAACAATGATTTACTTACACAAGTATGAAACAAACTAAAGGAGGAGATGTAAATATGTAATCATGTAAAGTTTAAGAAAGTGGCTTCCATAATGCTTATGCTTATAACTAAGGGTGCAAATTGTAAGTATTTAGTCTATAAAGTCGTTTTCTCATCTTTATGCGTAAATATTAATAACGAGAAAAAGAAAAAAAAAAAAAAAACCAACCTAGCTTTGTCCCCACAAGAACAATAGGCACCGAGGGTGCGTAATGCCGCAGCTCTGGGATCCACTTTTTTATTTCAACCAAAACAAAAGAAATCACTATTGTTAATGCTGCACATCATCTCAATCAATCGCATACACAAATAAAGTAGCATATTTTCATAATACATATATGGCAAAAAACTAGGACAAAATTTCATGTATCATATATGAGAATTGAGAAGAAAAGATTGATGTGATAATACACATACAAGTCTATTCTATTAAATATGATAAGAGAAAGAATATGATATAATTGAACATACATACCTTTTTGGAAATGTTCTCGAAGCTAGGTCTACTTATCAAAGAAAAAGCAAGGATGAAAACATCAGCTCCTCTGTAGCTCAGTGGCCTTAACCTATTGTAGTCTTCTTGACCTGTTTACAATTTTTACATTTTTTTTTTGTTTTCAATATAATATATTCAACGTAATTAATTGTATGTAACAATCGTCAATCAAGGATCGTTGTTCTACTTGTACGAACACATTATTAAACTCCAACTAATTTATCACCCGACAATATCAAATACTATATGATATTGGAATTACATATCACATTGGAGGCAATGTCACATGATTACTTATTTGTTATAATTATAACACCAAGGCAAGGCAAGCCTCCAAAAAGTACTTTTTATCCCTACGCAAAATTTGAGCCAATTTCATATTGGGGTTTTCATCCCAATCATTATCGTTTGGTCCACTATTTAACATAATGCTCTTTGTACTATATGATTTTATATAACAAATTATAATAGATTCCAATTAATAACTAAGGGAGGGTGTTTTTCTTTTTATCATTCACTAAATAAGAAAGCATAGATATAGTACAATAGTGGATTTACTAAATGAATGTTGTCTATTTGCACATCGTTTTTTTTTTTTTTTTTTTTTTTTTTTTTTTTTTTTCCTTATTGTAGCATAAAGTAAGGATTTTACTATGTTAATTTATATATATATAAATAGTAAAAAGCATAAAGAAATAAAACAGTATTTTGGTTTATTATGTTAATTTGGAGAGGACAAAGAACGGCATTTTCACAATAATTTATACCTACTTGATAATAACTATATAACATGACATAGAGAATACCACCCTTCGTATGCAATGTACGTTGTCCAATGCTTTAACTTCATTATCTATATATTGATTTTGTTTTTGCTGTTTATTCAGCATTGAAAATAATCTAAATTTGTATTCTTAGATATTTAAGATTATTAGTAATTATTGTACGTATGTGAGTAATACTAATACACCATGCAAATATCAAGGATATAGATCCACAGCAGCCTAATGCATCAGATCCACAGCAGCCCAATGCATATGCATCATTATACTGTTTGCAAAGTATGCTTTACAACAAGTAAATTAATTTGGTGAATATAACTAAAATTCATATACTTCTGTTTTAATTAAACTATATTTTATAGAAGTGATGAACATTTTGTAAGTAACAAAGGTGAAAACTTTTGAAAATATTAATCATACTACACGCACACATACATTTAAAAATACATATCTTATTGATTTTAATTATAATACACACACATTCAAACAAAAAAGTTTCTAATTTTCATGATGATATGAATCAAAAAGACGAAAAATGCATATAAAATGTAAAAAAGGGGTGTACCAGCAGTATCCCACAGACCCAAATTCACAACTTGGCCATCAACAGTAACACTTGCACTAAAATTATCAAAAACCGTTGGAACATAATCCTGAAAAAACAAAAATATATATGTTTGACGAAGAACATTAATTTCCAAGAAAAGTCAAAAGTCAAACCTTCAACAAAATCACACACACACATAGTGAGTAGAAGAACAGAAGAAGAGACTTACAGTGGGGAAAGTGTTGCTGGTGTAGGAAATAAGAAGACAAGTCTTTCCAACTGCTCCATCTCCAACTGTAACACATTTTATAAACTTTGTGGTTGTACTCATTTTGACTTTGACTTTCTTGATTTTGACCTTGAAGAATTTGTAGGAATTTAAACCCTGGTTGATTGAGGAAAGACTTTGGTTATGAAGAAGATGGAGGAGAATTTATCAAGAGAAAATGATGGGTTTTCTTGGGGGAAAAGTGAGGTGCCTAAAAAGAGGAAAGATGAGAGAAAAGGAAAAGTGAAAAGTCAAATTTGTAATCTTGACTTTTTGTAATGTGGGAAGTCAAAGTCCAGTACCATAGGGCCTGGCCCAAAATGGAAACTAAAGTTTAGTTAATGGAAATACTACAATATGGGCTTGGAGTTGTTGACTCTTGAGCCTAGGAAAGTCACTAGTATACATGGGTTTTAGCTCATTAGTAACGAGGGAATTTGGTTGACTTGACTCCATGAATGTACTATTATTATAGTATTATTTATAACTTACAACTTGCAACATACCAAGGATAAGATAAGAAGTAATGTAGAGGTGGGTATTATGTCAATATATTGTACAATATTAACCTAATATCTTAAATAACCTCCACATAAGTAAACAAAATATATAAAAATGGTTTTGCGAATAGTTATATCTGTAAACACATAGAAAAATAGCTGAGTGGCTATTTAGATATATTGTCTAATTGACCCAACACGTTAAATAATCCATGTATCATTTCAAAAAACATGAAGATAAAATATCACGAAATGTATTTAAGGTTTCAAGAATAAATATACGAATAAAAAGAAAAAAGTGAAAAAAGCTAACATAGTTAGATATACTAACACATTGATCCGAGGTCTTGATAGCGCTGATTTGGGGAAAAATCGTCAAAAATTATAAATTGTTGCATTTATATCATTTTTTTCGAAGTGTTTCTACGATGACTCGCGATTAATAAAGAATCACCGATTACGTTTGATTAAATATATCATGTTGATCATTAGTTTTTTTTTTTTTTTTTTTTTTTTTTTTTTTATTAAAGTTATATAATAATTGTTATTGAATTATCGCATAATGGACAGATTATGTCGATAAAATTCTTTCAAGTATTTAAGAAAAATATGTTTAAGCAAATACATTTATGGGAATAAAAAATTTATTTTCCCACTAAAAAATCAAGAATAGGAAACGAAGAAAGAGGAGAGAGAGAAAATAAGAGCTTTAGCTCTCTCTTCCGATGTTCACGAACCCTAATTTTTCCCATCTCCCTTTGTTCAATCTTCGTGGATGCACCCCTTTTCGTCCCTCAGAACCTTGATCTTCTTTTCTTTATTTTTCTTTCTTTTATTCAATTAGGTTAAACGAAATCTCGAATCAGATCTATAGTTTCTTCGGAAACTTAGAGAGATATCTACATATACGTACGAATATACCAATATTTATGTACAGGGATCGAGGTGGATCTTCGGCGAAGTCGGAAATGGTTGGAGGAGGAGGTGGTGGACCGTTGGATCGGAAACGAATCAATGATGCCTTGGACAAGCACTTAGAAAAGACGTCATCTTCGACCTCCAGGGTTTTGAATAATAATAGCAAGGAGAAAGAAAAATTGTCTATGCCGTCAACTTCTGCAGCAGGTGGCGGTGGAAAATCCCATCACATGGACCACCATCGTGACAACCGTTCCTCCTCTACTCTTGCCAACCCCAAAAACAAGGGCTCCGATGGTTTGTTTTCTTCTGAAAAATTTGTACTTTCCGAACGCCATGGTAGGCTGATAGAAGAATAATTGTGGATGAGCTCTTTGCATTACTTAAATCTGTTAGATTCAATCGTCTATTGCATATATTCGTGTGAAAAAGATATCGCTTGGGATTATGCATATCTACACCGTATCATTACCTGACTTTTTTTATTGCTATGAATATGTTCGTAAGAGTCTTTGTTATGAGGCAAATTTAATCATACACACACTACATTCATATTTTCAAGAATATTGGAA